GGCCGGTTACACACGACCTTTTTGTGAGTACTATTCGTGTTAGCTTCATACTTGTCGGGACCTTACCGCCGGAGACGGAAACCCGTGGGATAAGGTGAGGTGTGTATTTTCTGGGTCGGCCTTTTCCAACCCCACCCCTACTTGTGGGAAGGCAGCATTGCTGTCATGCTGATTGTCTGAAGGAAATACCTTGCTGCCGTCACTACTTCTGTACAGTCAGCAGTACGACTTCGACCTCAGACCTTACAGCTCTTCAACCGACCTGTCTTTCATGGTAGGACATTGAGAAACGATTGTTCCAGCGAGTATAGCTCGATTGGTTCATCATGATAAGCAAGTTCGACCACCACTTCAACGTAGCAGCAACCAGGGAGAACTGGGCCGGTGTTTCATCTTCTTCTTAGCATTGTGAATGAATGATTTCGTCAAGGATTTAGCTCAGGACCTTCAGGTCCCGTGGTGATCACTTAACAGATATTCAGCTCATAAAACATAAAAACAACAAAAGTATTCTACCAAGTAACAGCTCTTCCACAATTTTCATTTCAAAATTCACAATTTAAATTTATACGACAAAAGCGCACTAATTTACTCATTTGTTGTTGTATTGTTGGTGAAAGTAATAGTAAGTTTTTGTTGTAGACACATAAAATTGGGTCACTGTAGAGGATATAAGGGCATGCCGATTCCAAATATGATTATGAAGGATTAAGATAAGGCCATTAACCACCTGCGGTATAGTGAGTTTCATATAATTTGAGAAAATGTAATTATTAATTTCGAAATATTTCATATATATTGTTCTTACCCTCTCGCGGATGATAGTATTTCCATTCACTTACCTGATGGTCTCATCACACTATATCGAGGTGAAGCGTGGCAACTTAAATATATATATGTATCTGTTCCAGTTACCAAATTATCTATGCACAAAACACATAGGAAATCAAACAGTCGAACCAAAAGATTATAATTTCTCTACAGTTGTGGTCCTAAAGCTTCTATGAAATATATATAATGCTTCACAGAAACCAGATATTAGGCTTCTTGAAAAATTACCAATTCTTTTAGATTGCTTGATGATCCCATTTGGTAATTATTACTACTTTCAGACTAGTTTCTCAAATGTACTTTAATAACTATCAACCACTGCTGATTGTCTTTGCCACTGTTCGTTTATAAAGTCAGTTAGTATTTCGTTCGTTTCTTTTTGTACGTGAATTTAAATTATTACTCGGGACATTTACTGCTAATAGATTAATTTATACACATGTAGATGAAGTACTAAACCGTAGACCACCTGCTTCATCGACTAATACTACTCAAAATTGATTGATCACTGGGTGGTGATCAATGTCATGCTTGTCTAGTCCTTATTAGTGCATATCGAATGCTATCGATCATGTTGCAATGTGGCCACCAGTCTAGGTGACTCGACACTGTGGGCACTATGTATTGAGATTAGATGGTGGTTGGAGGTAGTCAACAGGAAACCCTGGACCCGGGTTTCGTGCTACTTGGCACTCGTCAGCAAGGTGTACCTGTAATCTTGAGGGAACTGGTGCTCCCTGGCGGATTCGATCTCGTGTCACCCGGCTTCACAGTTAGAGACGTTACCACTGAGCTATCCGAGCCGCGACTGACTTCGTGTAGGACTGAGATGTAATCACAATTGATTGATCACTGGGTGGTGATCAATGTCATGCTTGTCTAGTCCTTATTCCGCCAGGGAGCACCAATCCCCTCAAGATTACAGGTACACCTTGCTGACGAGTGCCAAGTAGCACGAAACCCGGGTCCAGGGTTTCCTGTTGACTACCTCCAACCACCATCTAATCTCAACTAATACTACTCAGTTACGAAATTAGGGGTTTGGATCCAGTTGTAGGTTGATATTTTGATTGGCTTAACTAGCATCATTTGTATAGACAGGCGAGACCAAATCAAGATATAATATCAGATTATAGAGTCATTCATTGTCAGTCTGAGGCATGTTGGTAGATCCAGACTACTAGACTGGAGTTCGGGTAGTAACCACAACCAGTGGTTGGAGTTACTCATAGTGGTGTATATGAACTCACTTTTCATCTTCCTCTAGATCTTGAGTCCCAGTATTCCTTTGTTCATACCTTTTCAGTACGCTTTCTTGAACCATACTCTTAATGCTTAATATTCTTTAGTATAATTGATACTACGATTATTTCGACTATTTTACTATTTATCCTGTCAATTTCAACTTGTCATACTAATATGGTACGTCAACTCAAGCTAATGCAAATTTTTGTAAGCATCTACTCTGATTATGACTGATCTGTGTAGGTTCCATTTCAGTCGGAGCTTTATTTTGTGAAAAAAAAGCGTTCGTAAAGATGACACGATTTCATATCAATCGTGGGTATTAGTTTAGAGGAACGTCCTCACAAGCTGTTCGAAAAGCTTTATCAAAACCAAGGATTAGTTTTAGCTGCACTAGGGTCAATTGAAGAAAATCATAGAACTCCAGTCCTATCGACAAATTTGTTTAAGTTTTTGAAAATCTAACTATACCAATCGACTTTTAGGGTGAAGGTTTTATAGAATAAGCTATGATTTCTGGGAAACTACACTGAAAGCGAGAAATTTCCTCAGAATTATTTCAACCCCTCTGTTGTAAAAGATATCGATCAAAACCTTTACGAGAAAAAGTCACTACACGTTAAAGTTCATCGATGAAATTCGAACCAATTGTCTGAGTTGGGCAGAAACGTAGCATGAAAACTGTATTCATTAGGTGTAGCATTTTTATTTACAAAAATAATATGAGAACATATTCCTTCATGAAGGCTATGTGAATGTGTTATTTGTTATAATAGCCCACCGGAATTGATAAAGTTGTAACTGGAATGATTGAGGTGACCGGAGTGATAATCTGATCATTGGTACAATCTCTGAATCATAACTGAGTAAACTTCAAGAGATAGAAACACTAACTGAAATTTATAAATCTTTATTAGAAAACCAAGTTTGTGGTTTACATGTAAAATATTCAACCAAATTACTACGGCTGTTTATTTTTCAACTAACCAATGATAATCAAGTGTAAAACTCAAGATCATAGGACAAACCAATGATTATTCAGTTTTGAATGCCATGACCACATTAATTAATCTTTAAAAAAACTATCTTTTAGGGTGACAGTGGTGGACCATTGGTCTGTGAAGATGATGGTGAATACAGATTAGCTGGTATTGTTTCAGCAACACACTCCAAACTGCCCGCTGATTATCCGGCAATATTCACACGCGTTTCTTACTTCGCCAAATGGATAAATGATGTAATCAGGGAGAACGGATATAAGAGAAAACCGAATGGTCTATTTTCATTTTTAAAACTGCATAACTGAAAATTACTATTATTTTTCACTTCTGTTATTACATGTTAATTTCCCTTTAAACAAAAGAAATTAGATATTAGTTGTTAAGCAATGAAAACAACGACTCTTGATCTACGCTGTGCTAGGAAGTTGACAAGTTAGGTAGTAAAGGGGTTCAGATAATCGTGGTATCTGTGATAGTGTGAAAAACTACGTTAAGATTCTGTCTTTTGGAGACAACATCGATCGATGTCACAAGATTTATAGAGTACTGGTTAGTGATATCTACTGTTCGAATTAGTATGGAATTAGGACCCTAGAACTTATACCATGTAGTTCAGAGGATGATTTCAGGGAATCTGGGATAGAATTTTTTTAACTCGAACCATTAGTGCTGATGATACGTGTGGAAGAATTTGAAGACAGATAAGGATGGATAGTAATGATAAAAGAAATATTAGGTAGCACGGATGATGTTCAATTGTGAACAACGTAATATTGAGTGACAGGGTATGACTGCGGTTTTCACTTTGCGGTTGCTCGCATAGTGCATGGATAATTGCTTCTGAGGCACCTGAAAATGAAACTGGGTTAGTAGTAGTTTTGGTGATCTAGGAGAGTGACTGCAGCAGCTAAGTGAAATCTTCAGATCGGTTATACACGGGCTTTTAGCGAGTTGTTTTTAATGTGTTACATCTGTACTTTAGAGGACGAAAATCAGTAAGATAAGGTAAGTTTAGCTATATCTAATCCCAATCTTTTCAAACTCGCTTTATCTGTTGTGAAGACGCAAGATAGCTATCGTGCTGTTTGTTGATGAGAAGCACATGACTACTGTCACACCCCAGTACGACTTTTTCCTTGGCCATAAGTTTGATGTTTATAGTCTAATCGCTCTTTAACTGACCTGCTCAGTATGTTGGAACAAATATCATAGACGATATAATTCGATTGGGTCATAATGATATGTAAGATTGACCACTACTTTATGCTCACAGTTACGGTCGGGATTGACATGATGACAAGTTGTGACAGACACACACCGTTTACGGAAAGAGAAAAAAAACGAAAGTACACAACTCAACAAAATTTAATCTATTTCTGGGTAGCGAAGAACTATTTAAGAAAGATACAACACACTATTACTACCAATATTATTCGACATCAGCTGGATTCAGCATTCTTTTTTCTTCATTCGAATACAATCCACAATGTTTAAATACATTCATATATACACTAAATATTTGTTTAGCATTTGACACAAGATATGATGTAATCAATTGAGCACATTTTGATTCATCCTGTTTTAAATACCATAAGGAATTTTCACATGGTGCAACTGATTTTAGATAATGACTGATTTGTCTAACTTGTATACTTGAATATAAATTAGCCATAATCATATCAGTTTTAGCGTAGTACGATTGACTTTTGAGTTGAAAAACACCATTATAAGAGATAAATAAATTAGATAATCGAATCAATAAATTATTAAATCCATACAACCAAATTAAAGTAAACAATGTAAAGAATAAGTTAAGCATTAAATAGAATTTATATAATCCATACTGTGATGATGATTGTTTAAATGCTACATGTAAATAAATAAAAAATGCAATGAATGTAATGAATAGTAGGCAAGCAAATGTTAACTCAAATAATTGTCTATCAATTTTATGATAAAATGGAAATTTCATTACGTTTTTATGTGAATACAATTGGATCATACCAAGTCTATGATGGTCATGATAATGACGAATATTATTCATAGATTGTTGCATTAATCCCCATAGTACATCAAATAAATTATTCATTGCAATCATATCCTCTTGTATGATAAGTATATAATCACTATGATTATGTTCTTGTTTTTCAACTAAATCAACTGATTTCAGCATACAGGTCGACATATCTCTCACAAATTGATAATTAACAGATAAATTCCTATAAGTTGATAATTGATTAGAACGCAATGGATGAATTGCATGCTGACCAACAAGTCGTATAATTTCATGTACATTAGACAATTCATTTATTTTGGTTCCATTCAAACAGATCATTATATTGATATATTTAAATCGGTAACCATACCTTGAAATATCTTCAAATATTAGTTTAATTAAGGTTGACAAAGATTGAGTTAAATAATCCGGTTGATAATCATCAATTTGATATTGAACACGATTCGACGTCATGATACTAATGACAATACCATGTTTATTACTTAAAATTGACAATGATGATTGTGGTGGTTGGTAAACAAACGGTATTTTTCCTTGATGGTACCAATCGTACATTAATGTGCGTAGATGAGCTAATCGTAATTCTTCACGATCTCGTACAGTAGATGCATGATAATTTATATTGGGAAATCGATAGTTGTTAATTATGGTTAGAAGAAAATATATGAAAATTGATAAAATGTTTATTTTTAGAAAAATATGTAAAAATGTATATGTTCGAAATAATCGTCTGATTTTAATTAATCGATTCATCAATCGGAACTAACTTTTGTTTGTTCAGTGTTATTTTATATTTATTGGGTTGTCATAGAGATAGACATACATACATTTTGAAGCAAAATATGATGAGAAAATAAACTGTTTGAATGACAGACATTTATTTATAAGCGGAACTAAAAAAAATATAACAAGCAGTAAGTTGTTAGTGCGAGGGAATTATGAGGAATGTCGGATTTTATAGTTTACACTAAAGAATAATCTCAGTTAAATAACCACTGAAAACCAGAAATAACTGAACTACTGTTTTGTCTTAGTATGAAATTCCTCAGTAGTGAGTATCCACAACCTTCTCGGATTTCAACGATTGTGCAACTTTTTGTTCAGTGATTTAAACTTTAAAACTAAGCTAATTATTCATCAACATAGGACTACCAAGCATGGATGGGGTGTCGGCACAAATCGTTAAATATATAAGCATAGCAAAAGAAAGTTTATGAGACGAAATGCAGAGGATAAGAGTTAGTATCAAATGAAACCTAAAAAGAGAAATGTACAATTCAAAAGGGAATCCATGAGGTTGTACGATGAAAAGTTTTTAATTTGGAACTCAGAGTAAAATAGAAAACGAATATGCTGAAGCCTTCCGGTTCTGTTCTCCTGAATTTATATGGTTTGCCTAAAATTCATGAACCTAATAATAATCCATTACGACCAAAATTATCTAAGCGTGGTTCACCTACACATAACTAGCAAAATGGTTGGTAAAATTGCTAAACCCAATCCGTAATAAACTATGTAAGTTTTCCTTAAAATATACATTTGAACTAATTAACCTTCTTGAGGACATTAATATTAAAGATAAGACTTTGCATTCCGTTAATGTAAACTCTCTTTTTACGAGTGTACCATTGACTAAGACTATGAATTTCCTTTGTGATTATATATCTAATGATTACCCCTTTTTTTCCTATTCAGTCAACACTATTGGAAGAATTACTTTTGTTACGTACTGCAAATGTTCAGCTCACATTTGAATGCGAATATTTTCGGCAAGTTGATGATGTTGCTATGGGTAGTCCTTTGGGGCTTCTCTTAGCTGATGTATTTATGTTATATGTTGAAAATATGACAAGTGAACTCATCAGCGAGGTAACTCTATATAGAAGATACATGGATGATACATTAGTTATATGTGATAAAGATTTTCAAGTTCACCAGTTATTAGATAAACTCAATGGGGTATTGAACGATATCGTAATGACCTATGAAGCAGAAAATAATGATTAATTGCCCTTTTTAGGCATACTTTTGAATCGAAGGGAGGATGGTACTATGAGACGGTCAGTTTGTAGGAAACCAACTTAGGCACGGCAATATTTAAATTCCCATAGTCTCTGTCCATTTCAACACAAGCGAGGCTTGGTTACGTGCCTCTTTAATAGGATTCGAAGATTATGCACCACTGATACGGTTGGAGGAGATGAAAAGCTGCTGATTGACACACTAATATCAAGTGGTTATTCACTAAAGTTTATAAATAGCTGCAAAAGGCAGTCAACGCTAAGACGTCTCATTTATTCGATTCCGAAGAAAAAAGTTTATATCTATCTACCATATAGAGGTGAATGCAACAGTATAATTTTAAGACAGAGAATAGAGGTAACCGTTGAGAAAACCTGATTGAAAAGACTAAGCCCATGATTCCATTTTACTCTCGTACACTAATTTCGGTTTGTTGTTGTTCGTTTGTTATACATTCCCTATATTCTCTATCTCTCCATAACCTCATTATTATTGTGTGGCGCATATATATTTGGTGACCCTTGTGCCAATTTTTGTGTTTAAATAAATAAATGTCATGCGTACAGTAATAAAAGTAAATCTATGAAGCAAAACCGTCGTTAAAATTCATGACATATGCTGTTGTAAAGTTGACATTAAATAATAAATTTATTACATTGGACACCACAAAAAACTGGAATTGATAACCCCAGTTATTACTTAATTTACGTATTTCTGACAGCCGATTTACCTATTAAATATATAGAGTATGTACGGAGTGATAAGGAAAATTTATCGTCAACTGGATGCTTAAACAAAAAGATACGTCAATAATGTGCGGGATAAGATTATGTAAAATCAATTTAGATACAACAAGCAGTAAACCAGACGAAAATGTTGACCAATTTATGGCTTCCATCTATTTTTATTTGTTGAAGTAGTATCTGTCCTTTGCATTTATATTTCTGAATTTCTATCAAAAAAACGACAAAAAAAGAAAATAAAAGCGGTATTTAATGAGAAATTTGTTGTAAATTTAAGCAACAAGGACTCAGATTTCCATCCTTTTCGCCAAGCGTAAGAAATAGTGAAACTTTGCTTAAATTCACACCAAGTTGTATACTTATAGACTGAATATTTCCGACATTCGCTAGTATTTCTTCAGGGAAACTAACTTACCTACGAGTCATCTGTACAAAACCAATTATTTTCATAAATTCTAGTTTGTAAAAATGTTCACAATATTAGGATACCAGTCACATGTCTACATTGTAACCAGCAAGTATTATTATACTTAGCTGAAAAGAAATAGACGTTAGCGATTTATCCGGCGTTCATTAGACATAACTAGGGGTTGGTAATGTCTCCTATTTTAAACGAACAATAATTCACACAACTTTACCGAATACGTAACATCTGATTTAATGCAGTACACTCAGGTGGGAATGTTGATGTATGCGTAACAAACAATTTGTTCGGAAAGTATGGCCCCATTATGAAACATTTCAACGACATCAACGTCCAATTCAGACATTTCTGGTGTTAGTAAGCACAATTCCTGCACATTTTAATTCGCAGTTAATACACAAACAAGTTGTTTTGGAAGTGCATGGGTCGATGTATGCAGCAGTCACACTTTCGCAAGAATTCCGAACAATAATTGTAGGCAAATAAAACCTTAAGACCGTGGTTCTGCATAGATTAGTAAGAAAGTGCTGATTGATGAACATGAGTGGCCAGTGAATGACACTGGATGTATCCTAAAGTGTCTTGATGAATGCAGTTAAAGACAAGTCTACTATTTCTCTAGATCAGGCTAAATGTCGAAAATTTTATGCGCATTTCTCGATTCATATTCACTGTTGGGGAAAGTAATTCGACCACCTAGTCGTGTCCCTAGAACCTTACATTTATCACAACCAGTTGTATCATTATGTCTAACGACATACCTGACGTTGCTACGAGTTGCAGTGTCACAAATAACAGCTACTAACTTTACTATCAAATGTAATTGACACTTATTTACATGAAGGCCTACTGTCAGCAACTCCTTTAACTCAGTTACAAGTGCTGCGGACATTTCGTTGAAAACAGAGTTTTAATTCACCAACTATGAATACTTCACTAAGGGATGGATCTACTGGGCGTTCTAGGATTGATCACAACTGTTGATTAGAGCTTTTGAACGACAGGCCGTCGTAATTGAGTTGCATACTCAGTTCGTTAAAACTGAATTTACCTAGCCAATCTTCGAAAATCCTCAGTAAACTTGACTTCAGTCCAATGCGGTAGTACAATTCTGTGTCCAGAAACTTGGGCTTCATATTATAGCAACGACTAAGTACACTTCGGAAGGACATGGACAGTTCAGGAATATACACACGAAAAAGGTCCAGAATTCCGTTGGCCTTGTATACAATTATGTCACTTCCCTTTATCATCTGAATTACAACTCTGTCTAGCTGTTGCTTCATTGAGAGATGAACAGACAGAGATCCTTCGGTAGCAGGACCACCTACAATTTAATAAAAAATAAAGACTACCGTTTGTTGCACTGGGTACATAATGTACGTAACTACAGGAGGCAGTGGCGGATTTTGGGATCGGTGGCAGCCCATCGAGTTTGACACTGTTGGCTGCAACCCGTCTCATATCCCATTCATTACGTCCAACATTACTAGTCTAAAAGAATCAATTAGTTGCAGTCAGGTTGGACAGGAGTAACTGAAGTCTATGACAGTGCGAACAACTCGTCTCTATGACGTAAGATTCTTGAAAAAGTGGTGTGTCCATTTGACATACCAAAACAAAACCTAAAAGTTGGTACTGTAAAGCCGACTGAACTTCATTATCATATTAATTATGTTTAATATGATATATACGATGTATTAGTGAATAATTTGTAATTTATTAAACTTTAATAAACATTTAAATGCGTGACGAATCATTCTTTTAATCACAGCAATAGATCGATTTTTGTTAACAACTGTAGTTAAGTTTCTTTGGCACTGCGTCTACTGTGCGTAATTGACAGGAAAAAACAGAATACATGAGTAGAAACTGTTAGACAATTATCGCCAGGCTTTTCCGTGATATCTGTCGAAAAATGTGGAAAAGCATTGAGTTAAAACGAGACATTTTGGATAAATTCACCGAAATTGAGGAAAATTTTGCGATTTCATAAATATAGACGGATTCCATCAGAGTGTAATGGAATTCCGGGGAAACATAGGGGAAATCCCCGAAGTTTAGGGAAAATATCAGAGAAGAACGCAAAATTTACCTAAAATTGTGGAGTTTTGTGGTTTTATTGACACATAGACCGATTTCCCCAAAATATGATAAGATTCTGGGGAAATTCAGGAAAATATCGCGAAAAAAACCCAAAAGTTTGGGGAATTTCCCTACATCTATGGAAAGTCCAGGGTTTTGGTGCCATTTCTTCAAAATTTTCTATAGCGGCTTACCCAAAATTTTCCCTAAACGGAGCAATTTTTCTCCCGAATCGGGAGACTGGGTATTGCTAATAATTGCAACTTCGTCTTCAAAAGATTAAGAAGTACACTGGTTGTTAACCGTTTTTCTGGGGTGCTAGGCGACACGGATTTTGGGATTTTTCCGCGAACTTTGAGGAAGTCTGCCTAAAGTCTAGACTGCGCTTTGCCTAAATTCCACTGGTCATATTAATTTTGGGTAACTTTTAAAAAGTAAGCGAAGATGTCCTCAGCATTCAGTGACTTACTTCAGAATAC